TTATATCGACGATAAAATGTATCGAGGCATGTAATGCCGCGCAAGAAACAGCTGGCCATAAAGGGACCCGTTATTAGTTACTGAAAGTTATGAAAGCTAATGTAAAGTAACGTTCGCGAATGCACTTTCTCGCGCGCCTTCACGCAGGACCGCCGAATGGCAAACGAGCTCGTCGTTAGTCATCAGAATTCGTCTAATCGATTACATAGGCGAAACCGAGATTCGTTCCCGACACTTTGCACCGATCACCGACTCGTAAACCCCCCGATGATCAACGCGTGATGAAACGATCGAGCGCTTCCTAATTACCCGCGAGACGTACGCGTATAAGAAGATTTTCTGCAATCCGCATTTCAGCGGTTTTCTACCGCCGGGGATGCACGCTACCGGAAAACGCTTCCAGAGAAAGTTGTTAGTAGTATTGTTATCTGCAACTTTTGTCCGAACAATTGTTCCACATTATGCGTCGTTTATATGAAAAACGGAATTCAAGCGCCTTGCATCGTATCGCAGATATCGGTGCATCGCATAAATGTAAGAATTAACATGACATATTCGTCGTAAAGTCCGAGATCTTTTACGGGAGAGCCGCGTTACGTCGAAGTACTCCGCAAGTGTTTCCGCAAATCGTCAATTTCGCAACGCCTCGTCCTCCCCCGAGTGGATGCGGAATTGCGTCAATTCGGGCTGTCCATGTCATCGCCGATTGGCAATGCCGACAAAATGTAAACCGAAGAAGGTTTACAGCTTTCTCGGGAATACCGTTCATTATGCCAGAACGGTCGAACGTTAAATCGAAAGTGAATTATCCGTTTTACAACGGTCATTGCATGGGAATCGGGAGGCATTTTACGAGAATTTCATTCGTTCGCTCGGAGGACAATTACCGCCTCCTGGTGTCGATCCTTTGGCCCGCGAAGGATCCATTGACCGCGAAGGAACTTCCTTAACTTTCAAAATCTTTTTCCAAGGCATCGGAACCGTCACTGCGGAAAGTCGCCCTTGAAAGCCTCACTCATTAAAAGGACCGCGCCCCGAAAAGTCTGGATCATCCTCCGACACCCTCGAAAGGATCTTCATATTCGATCCAGAAATAAAGATTTACATCCAGATCCTCGGTCGATCGTCCTGAAATTTTTCCACCTGAAGGGTCGCTTCTTTCTATGAAGTTTCCGATAAATGTTCACGGTCTTTCCGCCGCAACTTTCGAGGATGTCACATCTCGGAGGAAAGGGTCCTTCCTTGGAAGGAAGACTTGGACGTGTTTATTCCAGGGTTACTCCTGTTTCAAGGACTCCCGGGCATTATAATCGGCCTTGGTTCTTTACGATGACAGTTCCTAGGTATCCTCTGAATTACTCGGGAAGACCTCGATCTTCCCGGGACCAGGGGAGGAAATCTTCACCGGGAGAGACGCGCTTCCTGTTGATGGAAAATCGGGAAACGGGTCTCTCCTGCAGGTCCTGCTCGCTGCATTTTTAAGGGACAAATTCGTGAACGGGGGTGGATCTTTTACGGCGACGTCCCGCACTTCTGTCGACGGTTTTATTCCTGACGTAGAAACCGCGAATGGCGTGATTCGAGCAACTTCCAAAGTACCGGGGCATAAAGACTGTGTCGGACAACGCGGAACCTTCAGCTCCTAAAGCTCAGATCATAAATCGTCTACGAGAGTGCAGCCGCAACATGCATGCCAGATATCGTCAGGATCGCCCTTATCACCGTCTTTAAGAGGGTCCTGCTGCAGGTGCAGAATCGACTGCCCGAGTTGTCGTTACTTGGAAAACTGCAGAAAATATCAAATCCCTAATTAAAAGGATCGCCACCCTCAACATTCCTGAATCAATGATCTACGTCGCAATCCTCGGACAATCGTCCTAGAAATCCCGTTTTTGATAAGCCTTAATACATATCATTTACCCGGTAATGATGTCAATGCTTAAACCGTAGACAAGGGAATTTATTTATCCGGTAATGGCTTTGATGCTTAAATCGTAAGTAAGGTAAAATTTTAGAGTGACATTTCCGGGGCCAATCTCAATGGACGGTACCGATTTGACACGTTCATGGTATCATCGGTAGTATCAGCTGTAGTAGCAGGAGTAGTGGTCGGATCAATGCAGACGGAGGCCCCAATCTCATCGAGAGTGAAACCGCCTCGCGTTACAGACGAAAGCGAAACTAAACGCCTTGCTCATCCGAACCGTACCGTCGAAATGTCGTGAAATCGATCTTCTTGAGATCCCACTTACAGATCGGGAAGGCCGGTCCAGCTCAGCTTCCGCGGGACTCCTCTTACCTCGCACGGAAAGGATCCGGAACATCCGCTTTGTCCTCGCGACGAAAATCCTCCGATTATCCGATCGATCGCTCGAAAGTCAGAATCCGAACTTGGCACACTTGTTTCGATCCGGCGAGAGAAATCCGCGCGAATTGCTCGGTTTTGAGGTACACCGCAAAAAAAAAAGAAAAAACTTCCTCCGCACTTTCCGGCATCGAAATCGCGTTTTTCTCGACACTTTGGCCAAGGATATCGTTTTTTGGAGGGGAAAAAAATTCCAGCCTGAAGAAAGAAGGCTGGATAATCGCCAGATTGAGGAGGAGAAGATAATAGTTTTGGATTTTTTGCGCCCTTTGAAAATTGAAACTTCTCCCGCGGAAATCGCCCTTGCGGAGTTTCACTGTAAATCTGCCCGCGGCGTTTCACGAGGGCGTATAAGCGACGTTGTTTTATAGATCGAAAGCCGGCTTTCGGATATCGGTGAAATTTTATGGGCGTGAAATAGAATGCATTACGGCTCTCCACTTAGGCATTCCCGCGGCACTTCGCACGCGGATTCCGCGCCGGGAAGGAAATCGCCCACCGGTGGCCGAGTGACACCTCTGTTCGCATTCCCACGACAAAACGGCGGCCAACTTCTTCTTCTCTTTTTTCATTTTCTTTTTTTTTTTCTTCATTTCGGAAATTCGCGGAAAGCCGCCGTCACCGGAAATTGCCCGCCGTCGGCGTTGGCTCGATAAACCGACTCGAGGAATTTAATTGCACCTTTGTGAAAACTGCTCTCGATCGCCGACTTTTCCTCCCCGAAGACGAGGGAATTTATCTCCGAGTAATTGAATCCGCAGCCAGGTCGGAGGGAGACGATTATCCTTTGCTACGATTCCGATAAATTAATGCCCGCTACGTCCAGCCCATTTTTCCATCTCGAGTTAAGTACCCAGCCTTCCGCGAAGGCGCAAGAAGATCGTAACGATAATCTCGGTACGTCAGACACTGGAACTAAATACCACCGTGAAAGGCATTCGCGCGGACGCGTTCTTCTCGCCATGATAAATGATTAATATTTAGGAGAAATAACGTCTGGGAATGAATTCCGGTCTCGGCGGAGAAAGCGGAAAAATGAATAACCCCTCGTTCCATTTTCTGCGAATTTCCAGCGTCCCCTGAAATCGGCCGTCTTGGGAGTGCATTTCTTTATGGTACTCTTCCACACCTGCAGCGAGCCGCGAAACCTCGCACGAGTCGTTGAAGTGGGTAGGCTGGTCTTTTCTGAATTGCTGGTTACTCTGGCGTGCCATTATGTCGTTTCGATCTGCCTCCACGAGAAGTGCGAACGCGACGTGTCGCAATTCCCGTAGTCGCGAACTTATCGGTGAACCTGTCGGTGGACCTATCGAGATGAACCAATCGGCGAACCAATCGAGAGGGTCCACGGAAGTGCTGCATCGGCGGAAGCGAAATATCGTTGGAAGGATCGATATCGACTTATTGGCACCTTGATTTGCCGGGCCGATGGTAGGAAACGTCCTGGTCGCATCGTGATGGTCAGTGACCGCCGAAAGCGAAAGGACGCCGCCGAGTGGAGAACGTGGAGAACGTGGAGAACGGCCGCTCTTCCTTCCCCTGGATGTCCCGCGGAAATTCGAGTAATAAGGTCTACCACGGGGCGTGGGGACATCGGCCAGTACCGAGACCATTCCTGAGACCGATGCCAGTCACTCGTGAAACGTGAAACTGCTCGAAAGTTTTACGTCGCCGCTCTAAAAGCGAGTCCGACCGCGCCGGACTCGCGATCGCTCGACTTGCTCCAACAATCCGTGGAAATACTCTCCGAGACTGAAATCCGATTTTCCCTCCGAATCGAGGACACCACTAAACCACGTTTCGAGTGTTTCCGTGCCTAAAAATCATCCTAAATGTGACACTTTTCCCCTCCACCGATGGGACGATAAGTGGTCCTCCAAGTTCTGCCGGAACTCGACGAGTCGACGTCCCTGATAGCGTCGGAATTCTTTTTCCAAGGAATTTCGAAGGTTGAAAGTTTGTATCAGCGTTTGTTAGGACCTTGAGGGGTGCAGGGAGGGGAGCATAATTTAATCCGCAGGGATTTATGGCGTAGGGTATTTTATTCGAGGGATGCTGGGACGTCTTTTCGGGATTTTCGACGGATTTTGTCTCGGATCCTTTCAGGCTGGAATTATTTGCGTGCGAGCCAATTACGCCACCGTGGATCTTATTGACGAAAGTGAAATCGAGGGCCGTAATGGACAAAAAGCTCGGCATGCATTCCGCGATATCTAGCGGAATTGCCTCGGCGATGGAAATGAGTCGGAGAGGGCCGAACGACGATGATCCTTCGCAATTAGAATTCCCGGGAATGCTCGCACGTCCAACCTGATGTAATCGATGCGATGTAATCCCGAAGTGTGATTATACATCGCGTGAAATTTCCGCCAGTCTTGGAGAAAGTTTCGCCGCTGCGGACCGATAAAGATGTTGCAAGGTGGAACACTTCGATTACCCGATTTCGCAGGGAAATTCGAAATGGTCTGATAATCCCTCCGCTGGATCATTTTTTTCTTTCTCTCTCGAAAATTCAGACCCTAGGGAATTTTTCCATGTCACGTACCGTATTTCTAATCGCCTTGCTTGTCTTTGCTCGCGGTGTTGCAGACATGTCGGTGGAGGCTTCCTGAGGAGAGGAGAAGTCCGAAGGAGCATGTCGGCGTTAAAGTGCAACGGAGCTTTCTGGCTCCGCTCGGTCACGGTCTTCCTGATACTCGCAGTCACGAGTAATTACGCGGCAGGTGAGTAAACCGCTGTAAAATGAACTTGCATGCCGGGAACCTTTGCCAAAGTCGGAAGCATCGCCAAGAAGCGTCTCTCGCGATGAAGCGCTGCTCGAACTGGAACCCACTCGCGAGGGAAAAATTCTAAAAAAATATTCCATCGCGAGTAACGCCACTGGTGATTTTTTTTTATACAGGGCGAAGGGTCGTCTCAAGTTTTCCAGGATATTCGACAGATATCGAGGGGTCTTTCTTTGGCGAGAATTAATAAAACCAAGTACCTGGCACCGCCGTGGTTGATCATCGAGCTCGCATCGTTACCTTCCCAGGTCGCGAGATCCGAGACTCCGTTCCCATTACATATTCTGTTAATAATATAGCGCTACTTTGCAATACCCGTTTCCTCGTTACGACGATTACGCTAATTGGCCGGGGCATCCAGGTTCCGTTACCCATTGAGTTGCATTTCGTCCTCCCGCTGATATATACGGTTCCAGATTTTTTTTTTTTTTTCGGTTTCGGCGACCCTGACACTGCTCGGACGTCGATGAAAATTTCGGGAAATTCGACGGGAGTGCACTCCGATTTCGGCGGGGATTAGTTACGTTATTATCAAAACGGGCACTTCCTTCTACCATCGCTAATCGAGACCGGCGGCGAATAACGCGGGCAAATCCGCGGAACGATATCGATTCCGTTTTTCAAAAGGGACTGGCCGATCACCTTTCTCTTGCGTTACCGGCACCAAGGTTCCCCGCCGTTGTACCGTAAGCAAAAAGAACGAAGTCACTTTCGAATGGCGACAAGTATTTACCGACCGAGCCAGCAATGCGAGACGGGGAACGGTAGAACGTGCGATTTTCGTGGCGCCCGCAAAAATGAAAAAAAAAAAAGAAAATCGATCGGATAAACATTAACCGAATCTCGAGCTCCTCCATCGGATGGGATTTATAATTCCTGTCAATATTACCGATTTCGCCGATCGTGTCGCAAAGTCGACATTCCGGCACTCGGGTCGACCGGTTCGGGTTCGGTAATTATATCAGCGAAAATTAATCCGGAATTTATTCATTCTAATCGGCGAAAACCAGGTCGACTATATATCTGCACCTACTTCGACATTTAATTCCCAGAGTAAAAAATGGGCGTTATCGTTGCGTAATTTTAAGGGGTATGGAGAAATTGGCATCCCAGCTTGATAGAAAACCCATGGACGAAGTCGAGGCAGCCATATGGTCGTTCCCAAAAATTTCCTTAATGTAACCACCAAGTTCCCGCGGTACTTAATACTTCGAAAAAGCAACTTGCCCTCGTTCTAGTTGCATTAAATCCCGCAGACAATCTCAAGGTGCTCTCGACTTCTTAAACTCAATGAAAACGCTCGTCTCGGCTTCGAAAGGAGTTTTTTTTTCCCGTCTGCCCTATTTCCAAAGAAATTATTGTCTCGCCCTCTTAATGCCCTCTTAATCCCACCAAAAACGAGGCCTGCAAACCTTCGCGGGTCGAATCCGCAAATTGAAATTTTAGATCGGTCGCATGCCGACTTTTCCAATTTTTTTTTTTTTCCAACTTTTGATTTTACCGTGGTAAGTGCAGTTTGGCTTGGAATGAATCCTGGTGATACCACTTCCTTGGGATATAATATAATCCATGAATTACAGCTCAGTCGAAAATGGTGAAAAATCTTCCTTTGGCCTTTTTACTCTTAAATGGGTGGAGTAAACTCGAATAAATTCGCGTTAGAAGGCACCTTTAATCACCTCGCGATGACAGGTGAGAGCGATCTCGTCCTGGGAGGATTTCGCGGAGACCATGAAGAAAGTGCCTAAGCGGAATCCGCTTCGGTCGTTAACGCAACATGCGTATGACCAGGTGTGCGCCAGAAGGTGCCCCTTTAACTGAACAAATGTTAAGAATTCTAAACCAGAGCCACTAATGCGGCTCATTCTCTTTTTCCGGGAGGAGTAATTCTCCCTTCTTCCCTCTTCTCTCCCCATACTTCGTACTTTCTACGACGTGTAATCAGAAAACCCCGGTTACGTCGCCGGCGACACACGACTTCACGGTGCTTAATCGGAAGATCATGCGAGCTTGCTTTCTCCAGTTATGCTTAACGAGTGCTCGTTAACTGGGATTAAAGTCGTCGGTAATTATGTCACTTCATGGGTTCGCTATCACCGTTCGCCACGTGGATCCGCGTAATTGTGGCTCGTCACTTCTTGGGGTGTCATTTTATTTCAACGGCGATGGAAAAAATATATATCATTAAGAGATAAGGTACATAATAAGGGGGGGGAAGAATGTGGGTTTCCTTGGGAAGGTTTAGAACCTATCTGGGAACTTGCAACACGATTCTTTGAGTCACCGATACGGTGATCGGCGACCAACGTACCCTATCAAGGCTGTAATCGGATATTCGTATCTCTCTTCATGGACGGTGGGTGATACCAGTGATAAGTATCACGCGAGAATAATCCTTCGATCTCTCGGAGGGATTTCGTTAATCAAAGTGCCTTATAGGTCGAGAAACCTCCCCCTAAAAACCGATTTAGTCTCCTAAAGCGTCATGGCGAGGCGTAGCTTAATTCTCCTTTTGCAGGTTAGGAAATATCTCCGGCCTATCTTTTTATCGATCTATTTCTATCGGCTGAAACGCGATACCAGCGGCCCGGAAAGAAATTCCAGGGTAAGGGAAATTTTTTCGGGGGGCACCGCAGAAAGAGACACCCGATCGCTTTTATTGGGGAACGCGATTCGACGCTGTCAACGCTGCGGCCATTGTGGCGGGCACACGTGCCTTTATATTCCCGGATAACTGTATCCTCGAATAACGGAGAGGTTAAAGACATTGTACGAGACGTATACTCTGTCTGTACGACGCCTGCGAGAGGAATAATTGCCCTATCATGGTTTGAAACGTTCACGGAGTGCATACTCAGAGGCGTTCGAGATCCGCGTGGGTGGTGATGGAGGTGAGGTAGGTCAGGCACTTTCCACCTGTACGGGGCATCGAAATTTCTCCTCGACCGAATCTATGCTTCGCTGGGGATGGAACGATATATTAATCGATGCTCTTCGGAGAACACCTGGATTTTTTTATTTTATCCAGGTCGATCCCGGGTAATGGACGTGCATAGGCCTTAATGCACGCCCGGGTTCGGCGGTTCGGGGCTTATGCAACGCAGTGTCAACACTATCTGTCACGGTGACATGGCCGAGAAAAAGCATTGCGGTGAAGGAGAAAGTACAAAGACTTATCCCAATTACATGGCGACGCAGCGGCGTATAAACGAGGTCGTGTCGCGTCCTTTAACTCGACGCGACCAAGCACTCTGGAGTAATTAAACATTTCAAAGAAACACCTACGAGCAGCATCCTTGAGTCTCGCAAGCCATGGATGGGCTTTCGGAAAAATTACAGGCCTTGCTTCTTTATTTTCTCCGGCGCGTCTCGGGGATGCGGCTCGTTTTTGGAGCGGATTAGGTCCCGGAGGGAAACTCGCGTGTTCGACCAGATGCACCTCTAAAGAGGGGAAGGATTTACCTTCGCTGGCAAATGCTTCCCCTCGAGGAGAATTTTCTTTCTTTCCGCTGGAACCGACAATGACTCGGGCAATGATGTTTCAGGATGCCAGTTTTACCCCGTGGGGGAGTACCTGAAGTTCGTCAGGGTGCCGGAAAACCTTCCTCGAGGATCGGAGGTCCTCACCCTGGAGGTCCATCCCAGAAACCATCTGACGATCATGCCAGTCGACAAGGTCTGCAAATTTTTTATTTCGCCATTTCTGGCACTCGTTAATAAGCCAGACGATTTACTGCTAAATAATTCAAGTTTCTGAAAAATAGTGGGAGGAAAAGGTCTCCCTTTGGAGGTTTTTCATGAGGGGTATTAATTTCTTTTTATTCTCCCTTTGAAGCGCCGGTCGAGGTTTTGGATGGAGGGGAAGTTTAAAGTATCCTGATGAAATGTTTCAGGACGAGGATGCACGGTACTTCACCTACAAGGACGTGAACAGGACCCACGTGTCTGTGATATTAGCTCAGTCCTTGGAGGAGTTAGTCGACAACGAGTTACCACGCAACTTACTCAAGTTTCGTTTAGTCTGCGATTACACCGACGGAATGGACTCCCTGGCAAGTATTCCAGTGAAGCTAAAAAATTATTTAAACCCGTAATCTAGTTACAACAATGCCTCAAAGGTATTGTTTAGACTTAGCGGCTCACTTGCTTCCCCAATTAATAGCGCTTCGCTTTGGCGTAAATTATTCCTCGAAATTAGACGCATAAAATTTGGACCTCTCACAAAATCGATGTACCCTCTGAACGTAGTTGCACTTAATTAGCATTGTCCTGGAAGTAAACCGATGGCGTTGATCACGGGTGAAATTTTTATAGTACCTACTAAATTCGCATCGCTTGCCTAATTCGAAGCCGGTGCATATGCGACAATTTTTCACGTCAGACAGAAGAAAAAGAATCGCGAGGACGAAAAGGAGCAAAAGATTTTGGCCGATCAGCGTGAGTAGCAAAAGTTCACAATGGATGAGAAACGGGAGGGAATTCTTTTTCCAAAGATTATTAACAATTTTTCCCCCCGACTCGACTGCATCCCAACTAAATACCAACGTGACTTACAATTCCGCCCGATTAATTTTAATCCTTGTAACGTCGTTAAATGTTACCATTGAACGCAGTAATTCCCCTCAACGGACGGAACAATGCTTCGAGGTTTTCTGGTTTCTCTGGAAGTGCACGTTAAGCTTATAGAGTTATCCACGCTTGCAAACATTTATTGCAAACTCGAGACGCAACATTTACGCGTTTACTTGGAGACGGCTCATCTTTATTCGACTAAAACCACGTCTCGAGATAATCGATTCCAGAGCGGAAAGGCCGGCTCGGTGCAGGAGTTGTCTTCGTTATCTATTTTACGCTTCCTGGACGAGGTGACTAGTTTTATGGAACGAATGCATTTTTTAACCCACAAAACCACTTTCGAAAGTGTGTCTTCGGAAGAAAGTATGATCCATCGTAAGCGTTAACCGTAGCATGACGATCCCGGCATTCCGTATCACCTTGCTTATCAGGAGGCGATGCATCCGAGCATGTTACCATGAATGAACCATCATCGAGTCTTATTCTTTTTTTTTTTTTTATTCCATTACACATAATCGGACTCGCAGCCCTCGACAATCAGGGTTGATAAATCCTATTTTCTTCCGATCGAAGACTCGATCACCAGTGATAGGTCCTCCAGTCGTGTCTAATCGCTAATGTCGATTATGCGCAGGTGTCATCGCACTTATCGGTGACGGTGTACGTGGAGGATGTTAACGATCATGCCCCGCAATTCCTCGATGCACCATACCACGTAACGGTGGATGAACTTACGCCGACCGGTAAGACATTACCATCGCAATGCCAACAGTCGGCAAGACTGGGTCATCCGACCTCACCTAGAGCATCTCTTTCAAAATCATCGATTTCACTCCGTCATGCTCGAAGCCGGCAACGATTCATCCCGCGGGGACGCAGAAAGCAGAAATAATCATACACATATTTCACGTCAATTAATAAGGATCCCCGCGGACCTCTCGGTGCAGCTCGTCCTCCGAATCGATTTCGATTTGCCCGGCGAAAGTGAAACGCGATGCCCGAAATAATTCCCGTATCCTTCGGGTTGGATTCTGCGCCAGCTGAGAGAGAAAAAATTATAATCGCTTAAGGACGTACCGTGGATATTAAAAATTCCAGATAAAAATATTCAATGGATATTCAGCGCCTTCCTTTATTTCAGGACTCACGATTTATCGAGGCGTTCACGCGATCGACAAGGACAAGCCGAACACCCCGAACAGTGATGTTCACTATGCGATAGTGAAAGGCAACGAGCTTGGGAAATTTTCTCTGGAGTCCGGGCACAGGACTGCTCTGGTTTTGAGGAAACCATTGGACTACGACACGGGGGACCGAGAATTCGTCCTTACGGTTATGGCTTCCGTAAGTCAGTCCCCACATTTGCGCATCAACTCCGGCAAGCCGGACGCGGGCTGTCCATCCGGAACGCTGTAATAGCTGTCATTATACACAGTAAAAGGAGAGTGGAGCAGTCGTTGAGCGCGATCGGAGTAGAAATCAGAAATTACATCATGGACGGTCGATAGCGCGGCCAGAAAGCCGGAGTCGAATAAACGGAGGGCAGTCATATTCAACGAGAAGGTCGTAACCGCTCAGGTGGACGGAGGCAAGACGTCGTTTCGGGTTAACGATGCGAGAGACGAGGAGTAAAAAAAAATTAGTCGACCCCTCAACGAGACAATTAACCGGCAGGCGATGTCACCGGAAGCGAGTGTCGCTCGTAAAGAAATTCCCCTCGCTCGAGTCGATATCGCGAGGAATATCATTTCCCAGAGGTTTTCGGTGAAATCCGCCATCGTGACGAGATTTCCCAATTTTCTCTCTCCCTCTCTATGTCCACGGAGAAAGTTCACGACATTCTCGTAACAGTTCACTGCCAAGGTCCGATCCGGTGACCTAGGAGAACTGAACCCATTCCGCTGAGCTATAAGAGCGCGGAATCGTGTTGCAATTTTTTGGGTCCTCCTATTTTTGGACATTCGACGGGATTAGAGGGTTTGGATTTTTTACGCTCGTTTCTTTGGTCGCAGGATCGAGGAACACCTACCAGGAGCACCAACACCACGGTCACGATTACCGTGATGGACAACGACGACCTGAACCCCAAGTTCACCGAGGAAGTGTACAGGACGAAGATCTACGAGTTCTATCCCATGCCGGTGAGGAGACACTTTTCCCGTGGAATGATATTTAGTAAAAAGACGGGGTGACTTTTTTTTTTTTAAAGCGTCGGTTCGGTCGTTCGGTGCATGGGATGTGAATATTCATGGCTCCGGAGATGAAGTCCTCAATGAAAGTAAGATTCCGGATCAGGACTTGGGAAGTGGAATCGGCATTGTTGCACCGGCTGCCAGGGAAAACGGAGTTTAAATACTCGGCGTTATTGCTCGCTTATGCAACTGTCGCTAGTTACGACTGGCACCGAGTGATTCTATTAACGAAGTTACTGCACCGGGGCTAAATCCTGCCGCGGTTTTCGAGGAAGTTGTCGAGTCAGATTCGGAAACGACGGAGAATCCATTGTCGCCCGTTCGGGAAGAAGGCCCTGTCTTGAGATATTCCTAATAAAAGGCACTTTCTCGTGAGATAAAAAACTTAACTGGATTTTAAATTAGGTAATAGGTTGAAAATTAGGTGGTTACGGTGCAGAGAGAGTCCCGGAGAAAGGGGTGTAAACGTTTCATGCCGAATCGGTTCACTCTCGGTCGCGTTCGCTCAACTTGCGGTTGAAAGTGACTTTACGCATTACACCTCGTTACCGGCGCACTTTTCTCTCTTTTAACGCATGCGAAGGAAGAATAAACGGCGAGCCGTGAAAGTTTAAGCCCGAGTCCCTCTCTCGGCAACGACACGCGTGGATGAGGAATCGCATGCGAGGCCGCATGAATAAAGATCGCGATTCCTAAATCGAAAGTCGAACCGAATCGAGGCCGGCCGTTGCGGTTACGCGTCGTAGGAAATAAGAAAAAGAGGACGGGAAGAAAAAGGAATCCCGATTCGCCACCTGCCGCCGTTGGGTCCGAGGATTGACCTCTTGTAAATCGAAAACGCGGAGACTTTAATGCTCGCTTTTCGACCGCGAGTCCAGTTATGAAATGCGCGTAAAAAGAGGCTCGACTAAACCCGCTGACTCAGGATTTATGTTGCCCCAGGATCACCCGATACACCTGGAGATCAACTTCAGCACGCCTATCCATGCGGACGATCAAGATCGCCACATCGACGCGCCCATCAGGTACGACATCGTCTCCGGGAACGAGAGAGGACTGTTCCACCTGGACCCGAAGAACGGATCGTTGTTCCTGGAGCGAGCGATAGACCTGGATTCGGAGAGGAATCTGCCAGGGAACACGTTCAGCCTGCAGATCCAGGCCTCGCAGGTGGACAACCCCATGAAGTTCGGCCAGGCCAGAGTCGAGGTGGAGATCCTCGACCTGAACGACAACCTGCCGGAATTCGAGGTCGACTTCTACAACATCAGCATAGTAGAGAACCTGCCGAATGGGTTCAGCGTTCTCCAGGTGATCGCGACCGACAGGGACCAGGGAGAAAATTCGGAGTTCGACTACGAGCTCGAAGATCCTTCAGGGGCGTTTTATGTGGACCCCAAAACGGGATGGTTGACGGTCCAGGATCAGGCGGTGCTGGACAGGGAGCGAGAAAGCTCCCTCAAAATGAAGGTCTTCGCCACCGAGAGGAAGCCCAGCGTCATCGCGGCATCCAATGGGTCCTCGTACGTGGACGTCGAGGTCACTCTTTTGGACGCGAACGACAACAACCCCACGTTTGTGCCCAGCAATCTGTACGAGTTCGTCGTTCACGCCAACGCCAGGGTCGGCACCGTCGTGGGTCAGGTCCGCGCCGTCGACCATGACCTAGGTCGCAATGGTATGGTCCTGTATCGGCTACAGAGGACAGGGAATTCGAGTGCCCACTTGCCCTTCGAGGTGGATCCCCATACAGGGGTGATCTCCGTAGCGGAGAGTCCCATCATCGAAGGAAGGCACGCCATTTTCGTGGAGGCCACCGATCAGCCCACCAACCCCAGCGAGAGGAGGTTCTCCCTGGCCGTCGTCACCGTCGACGTCTTCCGGCCCGAGGGTAATTATTTCTCCCTTCTACTTCTCCACTAACCGAGGGAACAAGACGTGGCAAGAAGGAGGGACCACTGTCTCTTTTTTTTTTTTTACCACGGCTTACAAGGTTCGGTTTTTAGAGATTGGGATCGAATGATCTATGGGTGTCGGAAAAAGGAGACGAAGACCGGCTCTTGCCGGGTTTCGTGTCCTTAGTGACGGAGAAATTACAGCGCGGCGGTTCAAAGATGAGCTCCCGTCACTTTCCTTTATTCCCTCCTTTCTCTTTTTCGCCTCTGGGAACGCCACCGGCAGGACACAACGCCTGGGAGCCGGATTTCGTTGGTGCGCCCTACGAGTTCTGGGTTGGGACCAACGTTGGCGTCGGGACCAGCGTTGGACAGATCAGAGTCAACGATGCAGCCAAGATGCACGACCTCGTCTACGACCTGCTGCACAGTTATCACGAAGGAGGTAAGTCGTTTCCGTGCCTATAGCTGCTCTATTAATCTCGCCGATCTTCGGGAGGTTCAATGGAAGGTGTAATGGGGTGTCGATTCAACGCTAAGTACTCCAGCTCTCGATTCTCCCGATCGACACGATTTCCGTTCCACTTGGTTCCAGTTCCCTTTGCGGTGGAGGAGCGTTCCGGCACGATAACTGTGGTGGACCAGATAGAAAAGTTCGACAGATCGTTCTTCGACTTCGAGGCCGTGGTCACGAACGAACGAGAGCTCACCCTGGTGACCAACGTGTCGATCCACGTGGTGGACCCGAATGACGAAAGGGACATCTTCACCAAGTGAGTAGAGACGCATAAAAATGCTAAACCAAAATTAACAAGCATTCAAGAAAATTTCACAATCGTGCGAAGTCAAATTTAGGAGTATAAGAAAAAAATAGCAAGCATTAAAAAAATTTCATAACCGAGGGGAGATAAATTTAGGACCGTCATGATCGATGCCGTTGAATGGCTGATCACTCCTTGCGCAACTCGGCGGGTGTACAAATTGTGACGCCTCGTTTGCATGCGGTAAATCACGATGTCTGCCGATAGGGAACTAGTTTCCCCAGCCGTATTCGAGGTCTTCAAGATCTGAAGATCTGGATCGTAAAATCCATGGAACCCGTTCCGGTCTCGGAGAGGCGCCTAGGCCGGACCTACAAAAGTGAAACTCCCTTCGAGCTCTGGTTCCCCACCTCCTGGCGGAAATCGATGATCGATAGTACTCCGCGTAATCGTTCCCGACCATGGGAAGGGGACCGAGAAAGAAAACTGTAAAACAGGCCCCTCGACCAGCGGAAACCGTTAAAGTGTCCCAGAAACTGTCGCAACCCGTCGATCGCGTGGGCAACGGCGCTCAGAGAGCTGGGCCCGGAGGAGCCGAAAAAAACATGGACCGGGTCATTAAAATGGCATAATTACGCGGCGCCGTTAAATCCGGCCGATCGTTCCGTCACGTTTTGGCAAGAGCGAGCCGATTAAGCGTGCGATTCGGCCTCCGGAGACCGGCCATTCGAAACAGGGAGGCGCGCACTTCTAGAGCGTCCAGCCTTGTACCCAGATTTACCCTTCGAAGTCACCAAGACCCCCTGACGTGTCAAAATTGTGGCCTAGGAGAATTCCGGGGACATTTGATATTTTAATCACGCTTAAGAGAGTGTTAAACCGCCGCAGAGCCGTTTACGAAGCCTTTCCACTTCAGTCCTGTTTGTCGGGTTTAGCTTGGTCGAGCAAGTCCGCGTGCATAACGGAGCTCGAAGAGGGACGTCCGCAGGGCCCATTAAAGACATATCTTGTAATTCACCGACATAACTAGTGGATTTACCGGTTACCTCGGCTCGATTCGAAAAGTCGAGGGATTTTTCGAAAAGTCCCTATAAACATAGGCGGACCGTTCCTCCCCTTCCAACCAGGAAGAGTCGAGGGACGACCCCGACCCCTTGGTAACCTCAATGGACACCTTCGGTAGATGCAATTAGGATCGAACGAGAGTTCAGAACTCCTGGCTAATTTCAGGGGGACCACCAAGGCTCCTCAGGTCTTCCACGTGAGGGAAAACATCCCCGGCGCCTTCATCGGACAAGTGGTGCCCCAGAATCGCAGCAATTCCTCCAGGACATCTCGTTTCCTTATCGCCAACCAGCAGGACGTGCCTGATATCGCCATCACGGAGAACGGAGCACTGTACACGACTCGTGGGCTGGATCGGGAGGCGAGACAAAATTACAGCATCACCGTGATAGCCGAGAATCTCCGCGGGATCGGCATCTTCCAGGTGCGGCGATCGGTGCTCTAGATTTTCTCTTCGGCGGTCATCTTTTTACTTCCCTGATGAATTATTCAAATCATTTGACATACATCCTCTCTACGCTTCTCGTGGGGATTATTTTTTCTTCCTTACGTGGATGGTCGTCCTATAGAGTTTGGGGTGGGTCATGGTTCCAGGTGACCGTGATAGTCGATGACGACAACGACAATGCCCCGGTGTTCCTGGCGTCCAATTACGAAGGCCACATACCGGAGAATAGTCCTCCGGGCACGGAAGTGACCATGACTAATTATTTGTCGGCGTATGATCCCGATGAGGGAGACAATCGCGACTTCGTGTACACCTTGAGTGGAGATGGGAGCGATCTGTTCGCTGTGGACCGATCCACTGGCAGAGTGATCTTCCAGGGTAGAGGGGAACAGCTGCTGGACCGAGAAGACAAGTCTGCCTACGAGCTCAGAATAATCGCTAGGGATAAGGGTAAGTGAAAGTGGTCGATCCACTTTGGAGGTTTACCGATAACGGACTAAATTACCGATCCTACGCCGGCATGCTAATCGAGTCGCATGCCTCGGTGGTCTTTTGCCTCGCGCAAATTCTGATATTACGCAAACTAACGCGTGTTGCGCCAACCGAGTAACCCGAGCTAGCTGCACCGCATGAAAATTCATTTGCCGTCAAAGAGGAGACCGGAACCGCGGGTAATGAGACCGAATCGACCGTGGGGGGATTTTTCAAAAACGGGAAACCGGAAAAGGAAACAGAGAGAAATTCAGGATGGATCGTTGGAGGATCGATTTTCTAGGGAGTCGGGAGATTAGGCGAAATTATCATCGTTTGTCGTTAGAGATTAAGGGCTGATGGCGAGGGGATGTTCCAGGGAATCTGAAGTCGGAAGCTCGGTTGCTGATCACCGTGGACGATGAGAACGACAATGCGCCCAATTTCGCCCAGATGGTGATACTTCCTGACCAGGGGGTGGAAGTGTCCAGGCAGGCGGACGAAGAAGTCGCTGGAAGCCACGATTACCACACAGAGGGTAATGTGGTGAACGACAAGGAACATCGACCACCTCTTCTCTTCGTGCCGGAGAACATCACGGTCGGGACCGTGATAATCCGGCTTCTGGCGAAGGATAAGGACGCCGGCGAAAACGCCACGGTCACTTACTCCATCCTGAACGAAACCATCATCTCGGACAGTGGATCAGCCTCGGAAGGGAAGCACCATTTCTCGATAAATCCCACCACCGGCGAGGTGTCCATCTCTCGAAGTCTGCCAGTGGAGAAGACGATCCGTCTTCTGGTATCTGCCAAGGATGGCGGGGATCTGTCCGACAACATCACGGTGACGGTCCACGTGAAGGACGTGAACGACCATCCGCCGATCTTCAAGAAGTCCTCCTACACCTTCAACATCCCAGAGGGGAATTATGAGCGATACGTCGTGGGCACCGTGAGTGCCATGGACGCAGACTTCGGGAACAACGCGAACATCTCTTACGGCATCATCGGCACAGCCGATAGGCCCTCTATTTTCAGCATCACTCGATCCAATGGGGTCCTGACCGTCACGGGAACCCTCGACAGGGAGACCCGCGATGTCTACAGGTTCGGCGTGATCGCAAGAGACAATGGAGAGGAGCCTCTCAGCTCCACCGTTGCCGTGGAAATTAATGTCCTCGATGTTAACGATAACGCCCCCAGGTTCTACGGTTTCGACGAGATCGGCAACCTGGTCGGTCCTGCCGCCGATGTGTATAAAAATGACGAGAGCGAACAGTCTGTTCCTATTTATTATGCATCGGTGGCGGAGAACAGTCCGGTAGGAACCGTGGTCACCAAGGTCTACGCGAACGACTCCGACTTCACTGGGAACGGGAATGGTCTGATCTTGTTCGATTTGCCGTATTTAAGGGGCCAGACTCAGTTCTTCAGCATCGACAGTAAGGAGGGTCTCATCACCACCATTGCGACTCTGGACTACGAGTCGCAGAGGGTGCACAACTTGACAGTGACAGCCAGCGATTTGGGCTCGCCAAGTCTGACATCGACTGCCATGGTCGTGGTCAGCTTGCTGGACGTTGAAGAGGAGGAGAGCAACGAGGTCCAGCGACCCGTGTTCCAGCACAGGTATTACGAGGTCGAGGTCGAAGAGAACACCCAGGTGCCTCTGAAGCTGGTCCAGCTGAACGCTTCCGATGGCTTCCCGAAGGACCAGGTTCGCTTTAGCATCGTCGCCGATGGGTCCGACAGCAGGGACTTCTTCACGATCGATCCCAGGAATGGAACCCTCTTCCTAGTTTCCGAGGTCGACAGGGAAGTGCGTGACCTGTACGAGGTTAAAGTTAGGGTCGAGAGGGTGAAGCATGGACGGGGCATGCCGGTCATGATCTACCCCGTCGTCGGGGAAAGATTGAACGGCCTTGCTCTTAACGAGGCCAAAGTGATCATCAGAGTCAAGGATGTCAACGACAATCCACCAAGGTTCAGGAACAGGGGAAGGCCTCTTGTCGCGGCCATTCCCACTACTGCTCATTATGGATACGAGATCATCAAGGTGGAGGTGGGACTTTTTCACGATTGATGGACTCCAGATTGAATTTTTAATTACCCCTTGTCATCTGGCTGATGCGTGAAACTCTGTTCGCAGGCTGATGACCCTGACGACGGTATCAACGGGGAAATTCGCTATCAAATTCTTGGTCGCGAAGATGCACCTCGTTTTGCCATTGACCCGCTTACTGGTCAAGTTCGATCGGTGGGCAGTTTTACGAGGGATGCTGGCCGCGTTTTTGGATTCGATGTCAAGGCCACCGACAGGAGGGGTGCCGAAAACGGGCGCAGCAGCATTGCCAACGTTTTTGTAAGTTTAGCTTATCCGCACGAGGAAGGTTTTTCCTGGTCTTTCGAGCTGGCGTGACTTTCGATCCTATGTACTTCTTCGGCAATTCCGAAAATTGACTTACGGAAGAGTTCAGCGGCGCTGCCAATTTTTAGAATGGATTATTCGGTGGCATAATTTCGCATACCTGGTTTGTGGCTATTTATTTACTCGCCCGTTTAAGGTTTACGTGCTGGACGACCATAAGCAGGTCGTCATGGTAATGGGCAACAGACCTATGGAAATTGAGACGCAGGTCGACAACATTACCTCGTGAGTCCCATCCATTACCGCAAGTGGACGTTGAGTAAGGATGACAATTTGATTAATATCTGCATGTCTGGTTTCTTGCAGAGCACTGCACAATGTCACGGGATTGGACGTCCGCGTCAGGAAGTTGGAGCCGCACATCGAGAAGAACCTGATCGATACCACGTCGTAAGTCGCCGTTCACCCACTTCCAGTCCCTTAAAAAAAAATCATGCAAATTGAATGGAGCACCGCAAGACCGAGACTAAGTACCTTGCTCGCTCTTTCAGAACGGACATGTACCTGTACGCCGTGGATCCTCATCTCAACGTGATGATCGACATGGACGTGTTGAACAAGTGCGTAAAAAGATAAAATCTCCTTTCTCTCTCCGCCCTTGAAGTCGCAAGATTTGTCGCTTTTAGTTCGCAAAAAATGTAGAAACCTCCGAAATCACGGGCCTCGCTCTTTAATCCGGCACCGGGCAAAGTTATTAACGAGTTAGCGTAAAATCGATTTAGTCCCGGCTCGGGGAGAATTGAAAAAGTTTCGTCGGGCTGGCTCGAAAGTTTACATCGACCAAGTTCCCCGGTATTTCAATGCCGGGTGCGAGCTCGATATCGATCCCGCCAGGAGCCAGTTCGAAATTTTCAACCGGCCATTTTGGCCCTCTCCTCCTCAGCGTCTTCCACAATAAGAAGTCCGAGATAAAACGCGAGCTGGAGAAGTACCGCGTGTTGGACATAGCCGGAAGTACTCCTCGAAGGAGCAACCAGCGGTATCTGCTCTCCACCCTGGAGGTCGGAGTCGTCGTTTTGGGTTGTGTCGTCTTCATCGGTGCACTTGTCACGGCTCTTTGCGTCACCTGTGTACGACGAAACAAGCGGTAAGTAGACCACTTTGCCGATTCCTAATCTACTAACTTTGCCCATCCCGAGTCCCAAGGTCCCCGTTGAATCCGCACCATTTATCGGGAGCCATTAACTCCCCTGGGAATAAAATCGAAAATTAACAAATAATCCTCAGAAGTGACGTAGGCATTTCAGGAGTTAACCCCAACCTCTTCATTCTCCCGGTCTGGATTTCCTCCCTAATGCCTTTCGTTGAATTTATAGGGTAAACGGTATCATCAGTACCATTCCTCGCACGACATGATCCGGAAAGGGTTGTCCTAACGTTGGGCTCTCATCCGACTACTAAACCCGTAAAGAATAAAGAATCCACCGTGGCTAATCCTCCGGACTCGATGGCATTCCTTCGGCATCGGGATCATTGTTCGATGACTCGATTTATGCGACTGAAAGTGCTCGTAAAGTAGATCATTCGAGTGACTTACCTTTAGATAGAACTAGCACGGACGAAGCGTGAACGCGCGGAGAATTTTTTTATTTCTGTACTCGATGCATGCAGGAACGGATGACGGTCGACCTAAAAAAAAAAAATAGAAACAGATAATCAAAATTAATAGTCGAATCTGTAAATATCTCCGAGAATTTCGTTACTCGATTACTTGTCACTTGACATCCGAGTCGGTCGATTTTTCATGATTTTCTTGAAATCCATCTAAAGTCCTCCGTTGGCTGTATAGACGATCCGCATGTACCTAAGTTAGATGCATAAAATCATAACGACTTTAAGACTTTACCATTAGCAGCAGTATTATTACGTATGTTTTGGACATAGTGTACCTGTATTAATGTCACACGCCGTGATTTGTTGGAAATAAATGATTTTCTATCGACGAAGTCGGTAACTGAGCGATACATGGTGCAGTATGTTCAAAAGCATAGAGCATAGCGAGGATCGATTCCGAGTCAGTCGCTGATCGATTCTAGATCAACCGATCGTGCCATTCGATATCCTGAGTTTTGGACTTCCTGTGCCATGTATGCTTGCAACTGTCTGATCATTCAATGGGAGCCCCTTCCTAATTAGAGCCCCTCTAGCTAACCCTTCTCACGACCCTAACCAACCTGTAGATCTTTTATAATCATGGTGATCATTTTATTTCCATACCTTGCATGATCGTCATTCCTCTAATCACGCGATGGGAGGAACGAGGGCTATCTTTTCTCGAGAAGCTCGCATAAAATCTCTGACGCTGTCAAATTCTGTTAATTAGCCGACAACGGCAGGAGGCCATGTTCTCAACGGGTGGCCCAGTTAGCTTCGCTTTGGCAGATCCTGCCGCGACTCTGCAGAAACCTTCGCTGTTTCCAACCTTTGTGGACGGCCTTCATTACGACCCTGAGCCTTATTCCGGTGACGTTCGACGGCACAGTCTTTGCGAGCACGAGCCACATTGCGTTCGCTACCATAGGTAAAAATCAATCAGCGACAAACTTTTCCCATCCGTCGGCGATCGCGATCGAAGTCCCGATTTACGATTCGCGGTTTCGCAAGTCCCGTGGAAAGAGCCGCGAGGAATTATCTCGAGATTCTGGGACTTCCCTTTAACCAAATTTCGGGTAGCTGTAGGACGAGCATGGGCAAGCGTATCGTCAGGACAAGTACGGGAGGTCTTGAAGCTTCAGCGACATCTTTACATTCTAGTGGTCAGGATTCCGGAATAGTCGCCCGGGCGTGCCATTGCAGCCACTCTTCGAGTCCTTCCAGTGGAGACAGCAGCAAGTAAGTTCATTATCCGCCTCCCTTCCCCCAAACACCCCGAGAGAGAGAGAAAAAAAAAAAATCCGACGGAACGATAGAAACATTTTGCAAATGCAAAGAATAATCATTTCACTCAAGTGAACTGGGAATAAATGTAATGCAAGAGATTTTCCAATTTTTTATAACTTACAAGGAGGAAAAAAAATCATTCGAAATTCGTCGGACATCATTGGTGTTTCAGCGGTTACGAGGACTCCCTGAAGTCCTTGCACCGGCGGGCCAGGGCTAACGGGGTTGCCCGAGGTCAAGATCTGAACACGATGGCGAGGCGAGCCAATATGTCGCACACCAGGAGGCGCCATAGGTTCCACTCGTTCACCACGGCGGAAACGAGCTACCCCGAAGAGCTGACCCTGAAGAGGGACAAGCACTGTCGAACGGATACAGAGAAGAGGCGTAGCAGCTCGGCTACCAGAGAACATCATCGAGTGCCCTCGGAGGCGGAGAACAACATCACCGAGACCGTCATTCACGAACATCCCGGGACACCGATGACCCCGGTCCCCCCTCCGATGCCCAACACGTCCACGTTGCATGGTAAAAGATAAGATCCCTATTAAAGAGGTAAAACTACTGGCAGGAGGTCCCATACCGAAAACACTGCCGATCGCATGTTTCGTTTAAATAATAGATATAGCGAAAAAAACTAACATTCGATGAATGAAAAAATTATAAAACGGTAATTATTGGTTTATATCCAGGCGGTTGAATTTTCAATTAGATACAAACATATGATCGGTGGTGTGTGCAATTCGACGACGAGCTATTGAAAGACAGTTTACTTTTCAGGATCGACGAGGGCTTGCCATATGCTGTACTAATTAATTAAGATCGGAGGAATTACGTCAAGAGATTAATGATCGGAGACGCGTCGCTGATCGTAAACGTCGATGCAAACTGCATGGCTGAGAGCGACTGAATCGAATCTCGATATCTCCGCTAGGTCTAGAAGGTACCAGATGTAGTATATTAAATTATTACACTTTCTAGCTATAGCTGTTGTAGACGTCCGAAGAAGTCGGTGCCCTGATTGCGAGAATGCTGGGTTGTATTTGTACGTGTACATAGAGTCCTCGGCTTGCCGGATCGCCTATAGGGACAAGCGAAAAACGCTTTCGTTCGGTGCTATAACATTCCACGTGTTGCGTTTAAATAATTAGTAAATAATTATTTAAGTATTTTTACGATAAGGTAAGGCTATCCATTCAAAATCGACCCTCGGTGCGCCTTTGTCGCGGTTCTTTCGTACCACTATTTCAGGACACTGTAAATACCAGGGAAATTTAATGTAAATGTGAAATTTAACGAACGCCATTTTGTACAAAGCGCTTGATTCGTAGCACTTAAATTATTCTAACGCAATCGCATTTTGTATGATAAGTTGTACTTAGTTACTGTAGGATAAGTCTAAAAATCTGATAATACGGTTAGATCTAGAGTACGGTTAGCACTAACTTCCCTGAGAAATTGCTCAAATTTAATAAACGCTGAATTTCGCATCGTACAATCGTTGAGGGCAGCTGGCGAGAAAATTCCTGACAAGATTACGTTTTCAAGGTTTATCGGGGCACTTCTCAGCGATCGGCTCCTGGTCTTTTTTAACGATAACGTATTATTCTAAAACGCTTAGAGATATTCGAAGCACGTGTGGATTGTCATACGGCGTCCTCGTAGTAATACTGTCATTTCCGAGGGAGGGGACATAAAAAGTGCAGCTGCAAGCTGTGTCGCCGCTGCATACATATACAGCGCATCAGCCTTCGTCCCTGACATCTTGGGGGAAGAAGGCGGACCAATTACAACCCACTTATGGATGATTTATTTGGCCTTTAAGGGTGCTCCGAAAGCATTTAGCACATAACGTCGTAGGTATAGTAGCGACTGTTCCTCATAGGTACATCTGACCCGCCATGGCGAGTCTCGTTTGACACGATCGCGTTATAATCCTATGTAAAGATCTGTTTGAAAATCGGCCTAATGGTCAAAAATTGGAAAAATTATGAGGAATCGACGAGCCGCGATTAATTTTAATATCTGACCAAGGTCCTCTTCTCGGGGGCCGAATCGGCGGAATAAGTTCACGGCTCCTCGTTACAAATTCCGGGTCATATGTTAGGCGGGCTATCGCATGTAGAATCCGGAGGTGAAACGGCGACGAGAGTCTTTCGTGACTGATATCGAGACGTCAGATTGGACCTTCGGCGATAGCCTCGGGGAGTCCTAGATCTTTCCCGCTTCTATACGTCTAAATCTGTAATCCACGGCTGGATTTGCTCCAATCCTTCCCCACCGATCCCCGAGTTTATATAAAGTCGAAGGGCAGTTAGTCGAATATTCAATAGAACTCGAAGTCGTATTTCACGTCCAGAGTCCTCATCCTGGCCGACCTCGATCGCCGGAAGCTTTTTACGGCCCCTGTCACGCGACGAAGTGCCCAAACTCGCGGGGGAAAAAAAATATTCACCCCTTCGTTCCGGCGATTCCTAGATGCAAAATGGTAACCCCAGGGGGAAATTCCACCGTGAGAAAGTACCGGGGAACGGGGCGATTTCCCCCGAATCGAGGAAAAGGCCGAGCCTCCCTTCGGTGCTGATCCGCCTCTAGGGGGTGGAAATCACCCGGTCCGATCTCCAGGCATAATTTCCACCACCTTATTAAATCTTCGTTAACTCGCCTCGATGGGAGGAGCGACCCATCGATTGGGGAAATTACCGGCGGTGCAGGTGCAGTCTCGTCGATATTCCCGGAGGATGATTATTTCTTCCCACCCGGGCGGATCGATCGGGTCGATCGTCCATCGATCAGGGCTGGCGAGGTCGGCCGAGAAATCGGGCACGTCGGTGCCGAAATGACGACCAAATTTGAAGCCTTGACCGCGACCCTGATGGAGGTTTCATGGGGTCTTGCATCCCTTGACTTTATTGCCGCCAGTCGGCGTCACCTCGAGCTACGCCCTCGTCCCGTCGCGGGCTGAGTGTCCAATATTTCACGTGGCTCCCAGGATGGCCTTTTTAAAGGGCCCCTTCTTCGACATCCAACTGTCGACCGACTCCATAGATTCCGAAACTAATCATCCTCGGTCCAACCTTCTCCTTGGAAGGTCCCGGAGCGAGTCTCGAGGACGAGGAAAAATCCAATCGCGCGGGATTGGGCGATAAAATCGTCACTTAATGAAAGGAGAAAAAAAATCATTTCCTATGGAGGCAAATCTGGGGGGAGTAAAAATTCCTGAGACCGTCGATGCGGCTCTTCGTCGGCCGTGAAAAGCCGTTCGAGCAGCCGTACGACGAGTTCCCCGTCCTCGTCATTAAATCTGACATTGTTCCCCAGATGAACCCAAGGCCGGAATCGATCGCGCTTTTTCTGCTGTTTGTTAGCCACTTTTTCTCATATCGAGTTACAATGTCTCGATGAGACGCTACCGACTGTCGAGTAATGCCACTTAATAATGGAGAGTCCTTAAGAATCGAAGTCTCCCCCCTCGGCTCCCTGTCAATTATTTTCGAAAATACAAACAGAGAGACAGAGTACATCATACCCGATTACAATGCAAGTGTCTCGGGAAATTCGGTTATTTACAATTTCATGAAATTCGAGTCACCTCCTCAGTTTGTAATTACGTGGTGTACCCAACGTAATGCCGTAATTTGCAATCGGCTCGGCTTATAACGACCGATATAGCGGGGCGGTCTCTGCTTTCATCTTTCCTATCGGCCGAACATGATCTGAGACCGAGCGATGAAACGAACAGATAAGTCCTGCCCTCTGAGGTAACCAGAAAGAGACCGGGAATAGAAACGGGGAGCATGATCGATCGCCCTCGAGTACGTAAAGTTCATGTCGATAGCACCGGTCGTTGACTGGTGCGAACGGAACCCTCGGCATAAAATTTCCTCCCCGATTTCACGGGAGATCTCATCCTTAGGTGAAATCGCTCATCCTTGTCCTTATCGAAAAATCCAGGACGAGCGATCGTCCTGGATTTTTTTCTATAGGCGAACATGGACCCGGGGTCGGTGTTTCGAGTGAACCTCCAAACATGGCTCTTCCTTAACGCGGTTACCACGATAACAGCTGGTGGTAATCTCTCGGAAGATGCGAAACTATCTCAGCCAAGGCCGAGGAGCGCAGTAATTTCTGGCCGAGTGGCGGGCGCAGAATCCGGCAAGTGTTCGACGGCTCGAGCAGAGATTACAGCGCTGGGAACTGGCCGGCATTGTTCCCGAACATGCAGGGGAATTTCCTCCCACCGTGCGATAAACTCCTCTCCACGTGTTGAGCTCCCCTCCCCCGAGAAGACGCGGGGGTGGAATCGATCGCACCCTTCGACGGAAGTGCACGCATCGGATGAGACGTCGCCGACGTTCGCGCGCCATTGGGCTCCCCTGGGGAACTTTAGGGAATTTTTGGTCTCCATTGCACGTCGCCAGGGCATTCCTGGGAGGGAACTTCGGAATTTCGGCCCGCAATTCCGGGCAAGAAAACTTCCTGCAGCTTCCACGGGCTCTGGTCGAGACCCTGCAAGAAGTCGATTGCGGCGCGTCGATCTCGCGAGATTAATGGGCCGAACTCGAGAGCTCTTTTTATCTCACGCTTCTGCTCGGCCACTTTTCGGCTACTTTGAGATATTAGAGATTCTGATGACAATATTCGGAACGACTGACGCATCGTTTTTTATTTTTACATTTTTCTTTTTTCGTCCACTTGAAATGGTTTTGCAAAGTATCGCGGATATCTGGGATCGGTACTTGTACTCTCGATAACGGGCATGGTTATCGATCGCGATAGTGATCCGCAAAACACTTGTAGCTCCAGCTGTTGTTTGCAAGAAGAGATACCACCGAGATTGGGCGAATTTTTGTGAAAGTTAGGCTTTTTCGACGGTCCTCGGGTTATCTCTTCTCTCCCCCCGGGTCGCCTGCACTTCCCTTGGCCGGCCTATTGTCGGATTTATCTCTTATCACGCGTTATCGGGCTTTTGCCCTTTCCGGCTAACTAGGGAGCTTCCTCCTCGTGCTCGTAAAGGCCTGGAGTGTTTAACTCGGGTCGATGTATTAGGCGAGAAAAAACCAGGCCGAAGTTTACGGCCCGTGTCCCCATCATATCGATGCTTTTCCTTCATCCCATCATCCGGAAGGCCGGCCCCATTGTTAAGGGAGATCGATCAAGTGGGATCATCGATTCATGGGGCTCCCCGGAAACGCCCGGAAAAATATACCCTGGACCAATTCCGACTTCCTGTCGTCTTTTGAGAAATCTCCTAAACGGGAGCGAGACTGTCCACTTCTTGAATTTATCTCATTCCTTTCAACGAGATTCTATAATTTCTCCTGAGGAGGAGCCATTAGGTGGGTTCGTAAGATCGATCGGTTTTCTTTTTATTCCGGGCAGGATTCCATTTTTACGGCCCTCGGAATTTCAAGGAAGAAATCGTTAGTTAGGGTCAAGCTATTACTAAGTCATTACTTTATTCCCGAAGGACGGGCCGCGCAATTAAACGCCTCCACCTTGCTCGGGGAAAATGTCCAAGGGCTGGTTGCTCCACTTGCGGGAAACTTTGACCAGTTGGAGGCTCTGTAACCGACGTGCCCCTGTATAGTTAACCGCTAGACAAAGCTCTGCAAAAGTGGATCAACCGAGCCTCGGAGCCCGGGACATGTTTCGGAGGTTCTCGGCGTTAACTTCGGTCCAAGAGCAGAAGGCAACATCGATAGGACGTGCCTTTCCGTTTCTCGTAACGATACCACCCTAGATGTAAAGCGCTGAGTTTTACCTTTTTCCCACCTCGCGGATCCTTGAAGAAAATCAGCAGAAAGCCCCGCAAGAATTCTGCCGAGCGCGGTCAGCGATAAAAATTCAATGTCGTCCTCGCCGAGGAGTGCTAACTCTCGAAACCGTGTACGTCCCCCATCGTCGGGATTTGGAAAAGCGGAATATTAACCGAGAGGGTCGTAACTTCGTCCCGGAGAGCCCTTAACGGAAGATTAAACCCTTTTCGCTCGGATTACATCCGTCTAGCTGAGGACACGAGGATGTCATCCTTATAGGGAGACGAGGAAGCGCTTATGAGACGTCTAGAGATTCCTTGAAAAATTTTCAGGACTCATCGCGATTATTCCTTGTATTATCCACGATCAGTCTCGACGTCGGAATTTTTCGGCCGTTTACCCGGGATGACCAAACGGAGAATATTGGTTTCTTTGAACGGTCCGAGCTTGCAATTCGAATGTATCCCTCGGGATCCCTGGATCCCTGGGGCGACTCCTCGGCAACCGTTCAACCTTGACGTGCCATTCTAAACCAAGGTCGAAAATACCGGCGGCCTTGAAAATACTCGCTTTTCAATCTCCTTCGGACGAGCTTTGTCGAGCTTAGGGCCGGGCCGGGCCGCGCGCCGTGAGTGCGAGAGAGACGCACTTATGCGCCGGCAGGGCGCGCGAGAGAGAGGGAGCGCGGCCCCGGCTGACACTCGGTGCATGTGTCGCAGACGCAACGCCTGCGCACTCGGCGAGCATCGCCAGACAGGCCGCCGCTTCGGGCGCATCTCAACAGTCCGCGTTCGCCTTCTAAAGCAGACTCATTAGTCGGCCAGCATCCGGCTGAGCTTATCGGACTTGCGAAAAGTTGCGCCCCTCGGTCGGGAGCCCGAAAACGATCGGGAACCCCCGCAGAGATCCACTCCTCCTCCGTGCCGGTCTTTCCCTCCAGGACTCGAAATCCCCGATCGTTTCCAAAAATCGGGGAAACCTCGAGGAAAGTTTCCCAAGTCGACTCGACCGCCCAACTGGCGCTGGTCGATCCGTATCGATCGAAAGCTCTCCACAGCCGACTGCACGGCGAAGAGCGCACGGTCGCGGTTCTTCGCGAAAAGATCTGAGAAAAGTTCGAGGGAGGATCACCCTGGTCGTCTCATCGCGATCTAGGGGGTCCAGGTGATCATCTGACGGAGACCTCCCGGGAAATTCGGGGATTTCGAGGGATTGTTCCCAGAATTAAGTGCTGGCCCTCGTTCTTGCCCCAACTCGGTGGCACTTTCGTCTCGTCGAAGGAGGTTCTTAGGATTGCATTTCGACGTAATGTTTTTATGCACCTGATTGCGATACCTGGGTAACCTCGAGGCAATCTCTCGATTGATAAGTGGAGTTTCTTCGGGTAGAGTCTTGGTTCCATGCCCCCTCGGGACTCGAGATTGCGCCTGCACCGGAGTTGTTTCCTCCCACTGGTGCAGCGCCTCATCGTCGAGGCGTTCTCCCCTGAAGTTTGCCCTGCTAAATATAGAAGCTTGGAGTACACGCTGGCTGGCTAGGAAATTAACAAACTGGATTAAAAAAGGGGGACCGTGGAGGACCCATCTTGACACCCACTCGAGGCCGATGGTCGACTCGCCGAGTCTGTTCCACCCCATTCGTCCCATGGCGGGTAAAACCGCGTAGATGATGGACGAGTATCAGGATCCGTGAAGCAGAAAACAGTGAGATAAAATTCATCGAGCAAGCCTCGGGGAAAAGGGTGTCGATAACCGGCCATCGATCCTTTCATAAGCCACCGAGCTTTCGTAGTAAGCTCCGGGTCTCAGGTGTGGCGTTCACTGATCCCAGGATCCGAGCTAGAGATCCTCTCGAGTATCTGGCAAGCGGGAAGACCTCCCCAGGGTGCAAACACCTTCTCGAGGCTAAGATCCACTCGTTGAGACGGAATCTCACGATGAACCCCCAACACCCCATTAAGGCGGTTTAAAAAAATTAAAAGGCATCGCTGTAGAAAACGTCTCGATCTCAGGAAGGAAGTTAATAACTGCACCCTTCCGGATTAGAGGAGCATCGACAGCCGACCTTTGGCTTTAGGATAAGGGATCACTCCCTTCGTGCGATCCGAGTCTTAGGGGCGAGGATCGACGACCCCTTGGCATCCCAGTTCGACCTTTTCATACATTCGATACGTCCCAAGGCATCGGACGACAGGAGCTCGGCAGGGGTGGAGGCTCCCAAAGGGCTTAATGTTGGACTCGCCAAGCTCGGCTCTCATCCTTCAACCCCGACACCATGATTCCCCCGAAGACGCCTAAAAAGTAACCATCCCCCGTTTAAATCGATTCAAAGGAGCCGGTTTGAGATCTCAAAATCGTAACTAGGAGATCGATCAAGGTCGACTCGGAGATCTCTTCTCCGAACTAGTCGTCCCCCAGGGGCGACTCCAGACGCGGGGGTGGCGTTCGATGATCCCTCGGGATCTCGGTTCGACCTTTCCTCGGATTCGTCTCGAGGTCTCAGACTGGCGGGAAAAGCTCCCACGGGTGTCGACACCCAGCCGGGGCTAATGGTCGACACGCCAGGGCGGCACTTCACCCTCAAATTCCCCATGTTGCAACCCCCGGCCGCCCTCCTCGAGATGGCGTCCCTCAGGCTGCCGGACTCCGAGGAGTTCGACGTCGATCCACGTCGTCGCCCTAATGGGAACAACGTCCTGACGACGACGAACCCTTTTGGAGGCAACGTCCTCCTCAAGATCAGGACCGATTTCAGGGACTTCCTCAACAACACCCTCGCGGAAGTCGCCACTGCCAGAAGCAACCCCACCGTTGGCGAACCCGGGGGTCTCTTCAATGCCAGCGAGAACAACAACCTCTCCATCGAGCAGGTTCCCGACAGACTTTATCGCCACAGCATTGCCATGTCTGCCGTCTACTGCATCGCCTACGTCCTCGTCTTCGTCGTCGGCCTTATCGGCAACAGCTTCGTCATCGCCGTCGTCTACCGGTCTCCTCGCATGCGCACCGTCACCAACTTCTTCATCGTCAACCTCGCCGTCGCCGACGTCCTCGTCATCGTCTTCTGTCTGCCTGCCACCCTCATGAGCAACATCTTCGTCCGTGAGTTATTTTCGTAGGATCTCCTAAATATTCCTAGGATATTCCCGGGTCTCCCGGATTTATGGGGAATTATTCCGGATGCTGACGGATCCGGACGCGGGGGCGCGAGAGGTTCACCAGGGCGACCGAGTTAGAGCAAAAAGGAAAATTTCCGGGATTCTGGGGCAGACGACTCCGGATAATGGACCCGGGGACTTTCACGGATGATAAATGGGGTTGAATGCACCGAGATCGGCGATTCGGGGAACGGGTGATTAAAGTTCATCTCTCCGAGGTATCTCTTCGGGAGATTGGGCAGCTATCCTCCCCGGCATCTTTACGTCCGGTTTCTCGGCCAATGCTGCTCCGCATGGAAAAGTGCTTCATAGGAATAATGTTCCTCACAGGGTGGGGAAGAAATTTCGTCCGAAGCATTTTCCGATAGCGCGGCTCGTTAAAACGGAATATCGTGTTTATCTCGCCGCGTAAAATCACAGCCAGGTCCTGCCGCTTATCACGGTCGCGCAGTAAACGGGATGGTCTTCGTGTCCCATCCGGAGGATTCTCGGAGGAACTTCAAGGCGAAATTCCGCGGATTTTTCCGCGCGGAACACTCGCCCTGGACTACGGGACGAGCCGAAACGACCTTACCTATTCACTGCACAGATTGAAGCTGCAATCTCCGGTGTCATCGCTTCGGATTTGTCCTTCCAGCTTTCCCCACTGTCTCGCGTTCTTCGGACGACCGAGCGCCGGCCGAATCGACTGGGATATTTCCTTATCCGAGATATCTAGCCATCGCCAGGGCCGCCCTTGAGATTCCTCCTCCTCCCCTCTCTCGCCCCCGCCTTTTCGACGATATATTCAAGTCTTTCCGGCGGGGGAAAAAAAAAAAAGAAGGAGCAGCTCGGGCACGGGGTGCACCAGAAATCGAAAAGAGAAAACCCATTTCCTTCTGTCACCAGTCGGGCCGCATTCTGCGCGCTCGGAAACGACGAGACGTACGAGGGTGTGGAAATAAAGGAAATTATAACGCGGGCGAAATCAATTTTACCCCATTATGGCGTTTCCTCGATCGGGGCCTGTCGAGTTTGGGGAAGTCCTTTGAATTCGGGGGAATATCACAGGAGAAGCGGATGCCAGGGGGCCGAAGGCCATTTCCGTCTGCCTTGACTCGAAAAGGGCGCCGCGACGGAGACGTCGAAAACGGCGATAACGGAGTTTCCAGCAAACCAAAGGGATCGCGAATAAACGAGTTAAGGGAAATAAATATCCCCGCCCCCGAGGGGGTATTTCCGTCCCTCTATTAATGGACTTATCGTTAGTCGTCCGTTTTATCGCGGCCATTTAATCGGGCGTTGATTGGTTCCTTCGACGGGGACGTGGAAAAAAATTAATAACGCTTCAAAAGGCTCGTCGGAGGATTTACTCGCATTCCATATGCAAGAGTCGAGTACACCGCTCTCGACTCTTCCAATTATTCTAACGAGGACCTCGCAAGATGAACGCATTTTCCCCTCGCTTTGGTCGTTTTAGCGTTTGCGGGTAATTTTTTTAAATTATGCAGATTCCACCCGGCAGCGAGACGTCCCTGCCGCGTAAATTGACTTTCCCATCAGGTTGTCTTTTTTTTTAATGGAATTCAAGGGTGGAAAGGCCTTTCTTATACCTTACCGATCGATGAGTCTTTATCGATTTGTCGGAAGGATTTTAGTTTTCCTCCCCAATATTCCCTGATAACCGAGTTCCGATAAGCCTCTAGCGAGAGCGCCCTAATCGGGCGAAAATCGCATGAGCCCTCGGTAATTCATCATGCGCAAGGTTTGCACGGTCTAGCGTCAAAATCGACTTTAGATTACCCCGTAAACGTATCAACGGGCGGATTTAAGATTAACGAGCTTAACATGCGCGAATCGGCCCGCGTTAATGCGGCTCCTCCCGAAAAAGCTGGCGATCTTGCCTCGGGTCAAGGGCGACTCCGAAAAGCTCCGATCGTGTCCTTCCGCGGCCACGCCGCGCGCGGATTAATTCCGCCGGGCAAGTAAATCTCGCAAGCTCCCGAAATCGAGGCGCCTTCGGAGTTCCCAAGGAACCGGGAATTAAGATCGACAGCCCTCGGAGTCAGCTGACTCCCTCCATTGGCCGGCTCGCCGCTAATTTCGCGACAAGTCCCTCGCAAATTACTCGGTCATATGACGGAGAGCAATTAGCATTCGAATGAGCCTTCCGACATCTCGACAAACACCCCGACCACGTGCCCAGGATTTATGTAAAACGCGTAGGAAATCGTGGCGACGAGTAAAATCGCTCTTGGTCTCATACACTTACTCTTGACATTACCCCCCTAGTAATGTCTCGTAATGTCTCGTCAGAAAATCATGAAAGGCAAAATATTTTCCTGGGACTCGAAAATCGACAATTACCGACACGCGTCATTGCATGATGCGAGGGCGACGCGGAATTGTTGGCGTCACCGAAGAGGCGCCTCTCGTGACTCGTCTCTCAAGAATTGCTTTGACATGCTAATTACCCGACGTCGATTGCACAGACGGCGGCTGAATTTTTTTTACGGCGGCGTTTTTTTTCCCCCGGGGAATTTCGAGTCGGATTAATGGCTCCCAGGAGTTCCGATAAACCCGGCAGCGATCGGCTTTATAGATGCACGGATTGGGCGATATAGCATTTATGAAATATTATTGACGGCCCGGGGTGTATGATTTACCGGAGTAGAGGGATTGATGGGGTGCGGCGCGGGTAATTTATTAATTTCTTTCTTTTTCGGGGACTCCTGAAAAGGGGACATTTTTACGTCTGGCGTGGTGTCAACAGCGGAAGTAGCCAGGAGTAGCCTTGGCCTTGAATCCTTGCCATGTCTGCGAGGGCATCCTGGTATTGGATTACTTTTCAGGGCCGCCAGAGCATCTGGATTTGCATCCTTTCGTTTACATTCCTCCACGTTCCGCGTGGACATTCTTGGGAAAAATGGCCGGAGATCCGAAGAGTTCTTGCGAAAGCGTCCATTAATGCGAGGGTACTGCCGCAGTAAAGCTCGAAGAGATAAAAATTGATAAGGATAAATTATAATAAAAATTAAAATATAATTCATGAGATTTTTGACAGGTCAGACTTTGGCGTCCCCTCGCTAGAAATGGATTGTCGCGTCCAAAATGGCGAGCAACCGCGACAAGGGCATCGACGTGCAAAGCGTGTTTCACGGCGCGTAATAAAAGTAGTCTGCGAAGGTAGTTGGCACTTTGTCGTGGCCGTTACAAATTGCCTTAACAAAATGCGAGTCTTCTTAGAAACCGAGGCTTCATTTATCAAGGCCTCCACCCCTAGAGGATGCCATGGACCTTTAGCCGTCCTACGGCTATGCCAGATTTAAGGGGTACGTTCCGAGGCGCCGGTAAATCAGCCACAAACTCGATTCTACGTATAAATCCCCCCTCGACCCGCCCACTCCCCGCAAACACAATTTTCCAGTGCATAATAAATAATATCGCTGACCAAAAGACTCTAAATATGGATCCGCCTCGACATAGCACAAGACACCTACTCCATGGTAAATTCACGTGAAATATCGGCTCTGTCACCCCCGCGAAATAAGTATCTCGGGGATCCCATTATTCGTGTCATTCAAAGGGTTCCACCCGCGAGGATTGATCGATTGCGTTCGATTACCGGTGAATATATTCCCGGGATTAATTATCGATCGCCCCACGCTCACGTCTATCGCGAACGGAGGGTGTCGCATGGAATTCTTTTTTTTTTTTACCTTTAGCCACCCGAGGGATCCTCCCAGAAAAGGGAGGAATAAAAATGGCATCCGGAGACGTTATTAAAAAATACCCGCATGTATATTTATTTAATTATTTATTTTATAGTAAATCGAAAAAATTTTCGGAGTTGGATGTCGCACGGCAGAAAATAAATCATCTGCTTTGGGGAGGTGAGAAATGATATGGCGAAGGATAGGGAACGTCGCACCCTCGTGGGGTGGCATGTCGTGGGACCGGAAGTTCCAGTGGGTTTCCGGGACGCGGGGGAGATCGCACCCCCATGGAGCGGGTCGGAGGTCGGCGTTCTTCGGGAGTGCCGAAGGGGCGCAGGTGAGGAAGGGGATGCAGGTGGGGTGGGCGTAGTATCGAGTGCGCTGCCACGGGGTGAATGCCCCTAGGTGACCGCGTCCCGACGCCCGGCATCCTCCCTTCGCCGCCCTCCTTCGGGAACTATCCCTCGGAAACTGGGGCTCGGTCGTCGTTCCCCGCCTGGCGTTTTCATCCCCCTCGACCGGGTCCCTCCGTAATTCCATCACGTTTTCACCTTCGTCTTTAGCGACTTCTGTTGGAAGCTGTTGCTCCCTCGCAGCTGCCCAGGAATCGTATTTCAGCGACTTCGAAACTCAGCCAGGGTGGTTTCGATTGCTAGGGGATGATCCTACCCCCTCCTCGAAAGGGTGCGCGTGAACATGGGAATTCCTCCCTTAGCTCGAACCTTTTAATCGAAATCATTTTCCGAAAAAGGCACTCGCGTTGTTTCTCACGGGGTGGGCTTCCTGGGGGTTGATGACAATTTCCAGCAATTTCCGGGGAAAAGGGGGAAACGATCGATGGGAGGTCAATGAAGATCGCCGAAAATCCTGACGTTTGATAGGGTGGAACCGACGTGGATGGTTTATGGAGAGTTTATAGAGTTATCGCCTCGGATAAAAACACACCCTTGGCGAAAATCGTCCTTTCCACCCTCGGGCGCCTCCGTAATTCCATCACGTCCTTTCTTAAGTGACTTCCGCCGGAGCTGTTGCTTTCTCGAGGATGTCGATCGGTTGGGGATCGTTTCCTGGGAGTCGTATTTCGACGACTTCGAGTTCTCCCTGGGAATTCGGGGCTGCAAGGATACCCCTAGGGGAGAAAAAGAAGATAGTCGGCTCGAAACATCCCCTAGGAGTCCTCAAAAAAAATCTTTCAGACGAGTTAATTTTTTGTCCATCTCTAAGTTGGGGGAAAACGGAGACGATTCGT